CCTCTCTCTATCTCTCTCTCTCAAAACACACACACACACACACACACACACACACACACACACACACACCACAACACTCTTTAAACTCTACATGCATACTCACATGCACGAGAGCGCACCACCAGGGCATTTAATGCCTTGCATATCAAGCGATAAGCTAAACCAAATATCGGCAGAGAATACATGTAGATTTCTAGTAAATTGTCTCAACACTCAACACCTGATCGAGCCTAAATCTCTACTGCACACCGGCCACCGGTGTGTATTGCGAGATCGAAAGGGGCGGAGGCCGCAAGTTTTTTCTTTAAAAAAAAAAGAAAAAACTAAACAAACATGAGAAAATTAATCAGTCAATGAAAATAGTCTTACCTTGTCATTATGGTTTTCAATAGTCCTGTTTACCAGGTCGAAAGAGCGAGTTCGTAGCATTACTGAATTCCATTAATTCCGGGAATATCAGTATGTGCCTTCACGCTCGGCTAGCTCTCACTGAAAACACTGACATTATAGCAGGCCTACTGCCGATGACACATAACCAAATGCGTAGAGTCCGCTTGCACAGCAACCGTGAGCAACGCTGTGTCGCATACAAGTATGAAAATACATTATGTTGGTGTTTGTGTAAAGTTCAGACAAGAAAATGCTTGAAAGATAAGTTTATAGTCTAAAAATTTCTATTTTAAGAGCATACTAGCCATTACAGTATAAGTATTACCTTAAAATGCTTTTATCCCAAATACATTTTTGGTTAACACTGTAAGTGGTAAATTGACCTATTTATCATTTTCTGTATTTGCCATTTGGCATAGTGTTTTGTTTTTAGTCGATAGTTAATTATGGAACTATTTCGATAATTGTCGTGATTCAAGTGGATATGAATTAAATTTAGTGTATATTAGTACAATAACTGAAGTCCAATATTATTTCAAGATTTTGAATAAGATTTCCACATGCTGAATTCCATTTTTAACCTAAAACTGTTCACACTTCTGGCCAGTGCCCAGTGCCAAGGCTCTCGCCGTCGCCGACAAAATGGCTGGATTACAGCCTAAAAATGATGCCAAATTAACATTAGAAATTCGTACGAAATCTGTGGAACAGACTCTAGTCCCACTAGTCACTCAGGTAACGACATACAAACTATTTGTAGTTGTATGCAAGTGTTGCAAGGTGATAAAAGTTAATTTTATGTCCGTCATTTTATGGTCATTTTATTTGACACCCCCTCCCCAGTCCCTCCCTCCCCCTTTTACCTTTTCCATCAGTATCAGTGAGTGTTGTCTTCCAATGACCAATGCCATCATGAATAATGTTCCACAGGCTCAGAAAACTGTTTTGTATTCTTCTTCGCTGTCCTGGAGTTAACTCCTCTGTCGCTGTCGTTTTATCTTGGTTTTGTTGTGGAACATTGTTCCTTGTAACATTTTGTATGCTAAGTCTTGGAAGAGTAGATTCTAATCTAGAAGTCTAGCTGAGGGAAAGATTAGAAATTGCTCCCAGTCACACACACACACACACACACACGCACACACACACACACACACACACACACACACACACACACACACACACACACACTATGTGAATCACAGGAGGGTTGAAAATTGAGAAGCAATGATGATCTGCATTGAATCTGATCAAATATTAAAAATCTGTTATAGGCCACAGTGTGAGAATAGTGCAGGCGAGTCTTTTGGCTATTCTCACCCGGTGCGCGTTCACTGTTATAGCCTAGATCTAGGCCAACCAATTTTGCGTTCACCCTAAACCACAGAATTCTGCACCAGAAAAATTGTAGAATTCTGTGCCGTGAACAAACGTTCCATTACTATTGTTAGCCTACTAAAAGCGTACAATTTTGTCTGTGGGCAGTGGAGAGAGAGAGAGAGAGGAGTAGTGCGAGAACTTCCGGGCAAAACAAAATGGCGACCCCCGTAGTTCGGCCCGATTCGAAAAGTGAAATAGCCATAGCATCTTTGTAGTTGACAAAATTAGCTTACTTTTGTGCTATAACGTAATCTTTTCTTTGCCTTTATCCATTTGATCATCCACATTGATAGAAAGTATTCTGAAATTAGGAAAAACAGGTCTTGTTTCACACCGGGTGAGAATAGCCTACGGTGGCAAGTCTCACCCGGGGTGAGAGGTCGATCGTATTTCTATTCTCAACTCGGGTTATAACGGGTGCCCATTATTGATGGGATTGGGTGGGGTTGGGTCAATCACTCGACTGGTTGCGTAAAAACCAAACTTTTGCGTGTTTGTTTTTTAGGCGACGAGTCGGGCACGATTGGCTTACACCAAGATAGCCGCTTTGCGTCGTCAATCTGATTAGCAAAGGACCCGACCCGATCCCCAAATGGGCACCCCGTATTAAGTCAATCAATGACAACAGGAGAGGGTTTTTTTCTGTGGACAACAACCACCTCCCCTACCTCAGAACTTTTCTTGGGTTTAACTGACCCTACCTTCTCACCATCCAATGACATTAGCACTCACTCTAAGAGCTATTCCTGAGTGGGTGGTTGGCAGGTGCTCTGGTGTGATTTGCTCCTTTCCTATTAAAAAAATCCATTTTCTCCATCTCCCCTCCTTCTTTTTTGTGTTTGTTACTACTCTCTTGTAAGTCTTGTAACACCCCTTAATCTTCGGCACTTTTATAAACCTTATTGTGTTTCAAGTTTCGTACTAAAACTAAAACTAAAAGAGCTATTCCTGTGTATTTACGGGACACGCCGGTGGCCGAATCTCATGTAATTTTACGGGATGCTTTAATACTGATCGATATGTCCGTTATTTTTTATCACAAGCCACAGGAAGCGATGAGCCAACAGGTGACTCACTTGTTTTGTTTCGTCTAAAATTTGGTGAAATATGTAATTAAATTTGAAGAGATCACATTATCAACGGCATTTCAATCACTTAACACTCACAATTTAAAACTGTTATTATTCCCAAACGAATTAATGAAAACTGGTGAAACTTTCTCAAGATACCAAGAAGACATAGACGAAGCGAAATTGGCGAAGTAATAGATTCTAGGGGCAGAGTGAGCATCATTTTACAGCTCATGAAATTAGGGGAAGAAACGCGTTCTGATAAGGACAAGGTAGGATAGCACTGTGCTCGTGTTGACCCTGGTCAATCCCCGACCTGACGCGTGAAATCGCAGATCACCTGCCGGTGATTTTTATGGCCTGCCGCAGGGGCCCGGACTAGCTAAAAGATGGCTGAGATGGAATTTTGGATGCCGTGGATTTAATATATACACCCCAAAACTGTGAGGTTGCAATGGTTGTTGGGTGAAAAATAGCTCAAGCTCAATTAGTGAGTACAGTACAGAACCAAATTTTTAAAACTATTTTTAGAAGTGAGAATTGATTAGCCATTTTTAGGAAAAGAGGTAAGGCCTCTATTCATCTCTAAATTCATTTCATAGAGGTGAATATATAACTGTTGATTTCTTTAGAGGTCTCTGAAGATAAAAATAAGAGTTCGATTGGACTGACAGTTTTGAGTAGATAGTGACAACAGTGATGATGAACTGTTCTGAGAAGGCGTGATGAAAATGTAAAATTTCTAACCAGACAAATCTCACAAATGTTTTTAAAAAAATGTGTTAAACTTGTTTGTGTTTTATGTCAAGAAAATTTCACCACTCAAAAAAACAAGGCACTTTAAAAAATAATTCCAGCAAACTGAGCTAAAAATTACGACAGTAAAGTAGAGATTCTCTTATAAATTTTTAAATCAATGGATTAAAAGAAATCGATGAACTACATGTACCAGCCTTAGACTGCACCAAAAGCGCTGATAAATGAGATAAAGAATTAATGTAAAGTGTAATACATTTATAAAACCAATCTCTGTTCTTAATTTTCTTAAATATTGCTGTCTATTGAACCTTGACCGCGTGCTCATAAAATGGAAATGGCAACTTTTAGTAATGTTGGAAAGCTTACATCTAGGTTTTTTTGCTAAAAGTTTACTTAAAGTTTCGTCAAATCTCCGTTTCTATTATATACTATTTGTGGTGGCCGAATTTTGCTATTCAAAGGGCTTTTTAATGGCTGCATCAATAAACATGCTGTTTTCGCCAATAGATTCTTTAAAATATTCTCCAGATTATGACACCCTTCGTTTTTTCAGTTTTGAGACAGTTTTGCTGTAAAAAGCTAAATTTCTTTATTTCGCCGATCGCTTTTGTAGGCCGATGCTTCTGTCTCTGTAATTTTAGATTTGTTTATTTCAAGTCCTACTTCCGTTCGATACTATCGCGCATTGTCGCGCAATACTGAGCACTATTTTAAGTGTGCAACCCGTATAGATCTTGCCTCATGTTTTCTTTTTTTACTTGGTGCTAAATTCGACTACACTGATCCTTTCTTTTCATGCCCATAAAATAACTGTGGTTTAGAATCATTTAAAGGGTGCACAGTTATAATATTAAGAAGTCTGAAGTCACTGTAGTTTAATTTTCAATTTTCCATTAGTTTCGTTTTAGATCTAATCTTGGGAAAGTTTGTCTTCTAAGACGCCATTGTAAACAAGTGAGGCTTCCATTCACAAGGAGTACGTACTGATCCCACAATGACTTGACGACTTATTCTTTTGAGTCCGTTCATCGAACAGGAAACCCAGCAAGTGATATATATATGCACTCGTTTGAGGGCGACCAGGTTTTCCTTCAAGAGAACAGGGGTAGAACGCTATTAGTCAAAGGTTTGGCACAATTTGATCAAATCCTCCAAAATTAAACATCTCTGAGTTTCAAGACCGTAACACATTATGTAGCTAGATCTTTTGTTTGCAAATGGAAAGTGATAGAGGCCTTCCGTGTACTTCTTGGTCAATTTTGATGAAGGTAAGCAGAGAAGTTTGACATAGTGTGTATAGGCCAGCCCTCCCTTAGATGTATCAAACCATACAGAGATTTGACAGCACTCATTATAAGATGGAGTTTTCCAATGAAAGAAGTTCCAAAAAGCTACAAAAATATAGACCAACCTGAAGATGCCCGTGTTTACCATATTATGCTCTCATTTCGTTGGTCACATGATCAATAGCATCCTTTAATCTTGTCTTATTCCAGCTATGTGGTCCAACAGCAACTATGGCTCAAATTCATGGAGCGAACTCAAGCTCCATAAAAATAATGTCATCATAAGAAACGCCAAATACGGGATGACTGGATTACTCCTCATGCAAACATACAACTTGCATAGTTGCATTGTCCACGCTTTAAAATGGAAGGGAATCAATATAATATGTTATAGTATTGACTCTTTTCTTTTAGTATTTTGAATATTTTCTTTTGAATATTTCAGATAACAACTCTGGTCAACCACAAAGAAAAGCAACGTATAAGTGAAAAGGCCCATAAAGCTCTGGAGAGAGTGGGTCTGGCAGTGGGATCAGCTGTTGATCGATTTGTTTCTGTAGGTCAGTCTATTGCTGAAGAGAACCCAGACATCAAGGCGGATATGTGCTTTGCTTGTCATGATGCTAGAAGTGCAGGTGAGTCACATGGATTGATTAGCCTGATTCTATTTCAGTGGTGTCTGTAATTAAAGTGATAGCTCTGATATTTTTAATGTAGTTTATTATGCTATTTTGATGTTTATACTACTATTCTGTTTGGTCTTTTGTGGTTGCTGTGTACTTAATGCTAATGTTTTAGCATAAAACTAATACCAAGGTTCTGTTCTTAGCTCTACATAATGTGTATGTGTATGAATTGTATGTTGTAGTCTGATATTCTGTACTAAATCAGTTTAGTGGATATAATTTTTTCACCCCATCATTTTTTCAATATTTGTTGTTTTTTACCTTTTTCTTGCTGTTGGTGTCTGGCAGCAGTGAAGCTAATACTTTGCCATAATTCTTTCAGGATCAACAATCCAGGCACTTACCACGGTGCGACAGACAGGGGAAGAAGGCATGGTGCCACCTGCTGATAAGACAGCCATGGTGCGAGCAGCACGACAGTTACTGTCAGCTATTACGAAAGTTTTACTCTTGGCTGATCGCATTGTAGTCAAACAGCTGCTCCTGAGTAAGGACAGGGTGAGTCTGATAGCTTTTACTGAGTTCTCATGCACTTAAATGCTGATGTTATAGGTTTTTGTTTGAGTTTAGATACTGTTAGTGTTGTGAATAGTCAGACTATTCTGAGCTGTCACCACATAATTTGGTAATTGAATTTAATCATATGTTTGAGACAGGTCCTAGACTTTTCTTAGGTATTTGTGAAGACAGATTTTCTTTTAAGGTTTGGTCTTCTCTTGTTTGAGATGAATATTATTTAGTATCTCAGTCTGATTTTGTCAATGACAATATACTTGATACTGAAAGGAGAAAAATGAAAAGTGATACAAGTTGTAACTGTATTTTTCTTCAGGTTCTGCTGAGCCTGGCTCAGGTGGAGGAGGTGAACAACTTCACAGACTTTGTCAACGCTTTCAGTCAGTTTGGAAAAGATATGGTAGAACTGGCCCACTTATCAGGCGACAGACAGAATGTGAGTATTAATATGGTATAAGAGAATAAAAGACAGTATGAGACTTACTAAACAGTTTAAAAATATTATTAGAAAATTTGGAACAGTGTTGGAATAGGCTACTGTTTTTGACTCTTGCAAGCTTTTTTGTTGGCCGCGTTATCGGAGAGTGATGGTCCTGTGTTCGTCATATTGAGGATTGATAGAGTCGTATCTTTCACTGGTACTCTGAAGTGGCAGGCAAGGTTTCTTTTTATGAAATCACTTACTTTGTCAGTTACTGTTACAATTGCAAAATATGTTGCACTGCACTACTACTTCTGTTGTTTGGCCGTTGCAACATGTTATTTGTAAGGATCAGGATATTTTGAAGTGGGGCAGAATTGCTTTCACACCCAATGCCCCAGTTTTTACTGCCTCTGCTTGTAGAATCAGTTTGGCTATAAAATGATTCAGGCAGTTTTTATTGAATTTAGCGCTTTAGCATTGCCTCTTTAAGATTTAGAAGGGTAAAAAAATCGCGGTGTTTCAGTTTGCGAGTGTCTAGATCTAGAGATATCTACTGATGAGAAATCTAAATCTGGTAGTCAAGATACTGTAAAAGCTCAACAAGGCTTCAGTTTGGAAGCTTAATCCGAACTGTTTGATACTCATTCACAACCACTCTTGTACATCCTCAAGGGTTCTTATTTCCTTGCATGCTTGTAACATTTAGGACAACCATCATGACAAAGCTCATCATTTTCAGCAGCCTCACATATCAGCAATAAAGTCACAAGCATGAAAGATAACATTTCCTTTTGTCGCCACTAGTTTCTATCTTGGCAGCCTAAATCCAGTCTAGATCGATAGTAAGAGGGAAATTGAACACTTATTCCACTTTCCCTTTCAAGAGAACAAATGGAATGAAAACCAATGATCCCTGTCGTATCATAAAGGAGCTGAGTTCATCCCTTTCTTAGTGGGGTTTTCACTTTTCATTGAAGAATCACACACTTTGCCATTATATAGCGATGATGGCAGATTTTCATAGCAATTCATGTATTATTCGTTTAGTTTAGTTTCAGTCAGAGCTTTACAGAACTTTCAACAAAATAGGTCATATTAGTGCTGAAGATTAGAGGTTTTACAAGAGAGTAACAAACACAAAAAAGGAGGAGAGACGAGGACGATAGATGTTAGATGGGAAAGAAGGAGCAAACCACTCAAGAGCACCATCCATGTTTTAATTGTTACTTTTTAATCTTAATCATAACATTTCTTGCTAAAATTGCTCAAAGTCGTTCATAATTACTTTCCTTTAGAGCAATGTTTTGTGGTGGCGTCGGTAGCCTAGTGGTTAGGCTATCGGACTGGTAATCTTGAGATTGCGGGTTCGGGGGTTTGAACCTCAGCTTTGTCCGACATTGTGTCCTTGAGAATGGCACTTTACATGAATATCCCACTCGGCTCGGCAGAGGTCCCGCCTCTTAAATAACCTAAGCTTCCAAACTGAGGCCTTGTTGAGTTTCTACAGTTTCTGGACTATCATTTCCCCATTTTCACCGTTTTGTGAGGAACAGGCGAATGTTTTCCTGAAAGTCCTTGCCTTTGACCACAAAAAAAAGTAATGCAGTGATTTCAAGGGGTTTCTGGCTGAACGAAAGTATTAGGTTAAAATTGTTACAATGTGAAAAAAATAGTCGCTGACATTTTACCTTAAAAGATGAGAATAAACGTATGGACTGTGTTATTGGTTGATGAAATTACTAAAGTGATAGTATTTCTGGATTTACAGCAAAAAATTATTCTGTTGAAGTGTTTGTTGAATTGAAGATAGTGATATCATATTTTATCATTTTATTAACAAGATGTGTAACGTTTAAGGGGAAACTGAATTTGCATTATATGAAGATATAGGCTGTGGTAAACATTCAATTTTACTCTTGTTCTTCAAGTTCTACTTAAGGGTACTCCCCTTGAAATTGCTGATTTTGAGTCTAATTAATTATGAAATTTGAGTTGTTTACTAATTAATACTTATTATTCACTAATCAGCCACTCCTTTATCTAAAAGAAGCAAAGAGAACCCTTGGAAACATGAACTTATTCAAACATTTGGCAAATTTCTGCAACAAACTGACTTTTTTTTGGTCAAAATGATATTTTGAAGCAGTTTTTAGCGAACCATTAAAAATAAATTTTCATCTTATTGGCATGAAACTTTCAGGAGAACTTCGCTGCATATCAAGTTGCATTCAGAAAAAGAATCGTTAAGATTTTAAAGTATTTTGATTCACAAAAAATTATGTTAGCTAAATTAGGTTACATACAACGTATCGTTGCTGCAGAATTCTTCTGCTAACTCCAAAAATGTGGGTTTTGTTTTTCTTGACTGGCATCGCACAACTCATCCTATAAAAATAACTCCCGACCAGGTGAACCTATCCAAACACTCGCTACAACATTGGATTCTAAACAGCTAATAAGGCTGTATAATAGCCTTGTAGTTTTTTTTGTTTTTTCACTCTCCTGTAAAACTTACAGAAACCGAATTAGCCTTTTAGAATTCTACAGTGACGATGAGTCTATAAAATTCCAAAAACAGATTTTCTTAGAATCATGTCTCAAAAGCATACTATACTGTTGAAAAGTTTGAGTAAGCACAGGTACACTCTCACCAAGTTTGGAAAAATTCGAGAATGTTTTTAGGTACCGTAAATTTCCAGTCTTTTGTCCTTTCTGGAGTAAAAAAGTCCGGTCTCTATTGAGTTAATGGCTGATGTTCAAATTTGTTCTGTTTTACTTACCTTTTCTTACTGTTGATGTGATTTTTTTTTCTGTTCGCAGGACTTAAAGAGTGACAAACACAGAGCACAAATGGGCTCTGCCAGAGCTATTCTTGAAAAGTCTACAATGATGCTGCTTCTTTCTTGTAAGGTAAATGACCCATGTTTACATGTTGAAAGTGATGTTTTAATCAGTATTGTTGACTTTGTCTTTGAGTGTATTTTGATAAGACTGTGATTTGCATGCTGGTAAAAAGTTCTAACCAAAAAGTGAGGTAAGATTTTTTAAACTCTTAACCCTGGAAAAGCAACAGCCCTATATATAGGGCGTGAGTCCGGCTACCCGGCAAGCGCGACAGTCCTATACAAAGGGCCGACCTACTTCGACCAGGAAGCGCGCTGGCCCTATATAAAGGGCATAGACCCTGACCTCCTTTAATGGAAAATTTCAGTGTTCCTTATATATGATAAATGATGTAGTAAATTGCAAGTCAAAGTTATAAATAGGGACCAATGAGTTTGCAAGTCATTTTGAATTAGTAGCGCGTCCCTTGGTGTAGATATCGATTGAGAAAGGGATGGGGTCCAGCTAATGACTGCACGGTCCGTGGTATCGCTTGTTGCACTGTAGTATTGTAATAATTGTTGACTTCTTTGCATTTTGTACTTTGTATGTAATTGTTTGATCGCTTATCATTTTTTAATGGCTCACTCATTCTATTAGCTTTGGGAAAAGATATGGTTTTATATGTCTTTTATCATCTGCTGAGCTGTAAATGGTCTTTTTCAATAGCAGGTATAAGTTTCTAATATCTCAGCTGATATTCTGCCCACCAAACCCCCATGTTTACTATCGATCGGCCTTGGCAGCGGGGCATTTTGGGCGGGTTACTTCCAGTGAAACGCTGTGCGCTTCTAGGGTTAATTTATCAAGATTTTTTTTATGACTGAGTATCCTCAAATACTAAGATTTCTTTTTTTAAAAAAACAACAGTGGAGTGACTCACCATACAACAACAAAAAATTCAATTTTCAAGCTAATCATTTCAAATTTCCCCCTCACTTTGAAACGTGGAAATTCTTTGATGAAATACAACGTTAAATAAAATATAATCTTAATTCAAGAGGTAGTTGTTTTTAATAGTTCTTAATAATCTGTAATGCTGTCAATCTTCAAAATCATCATTAGAATCCTTCTCAAATGATAAATCTGAGTCTGATCCAGAAACTAACATTGTGAGCAATCAATTTGCACATAAAACTGAAGGAATCTCTTTTATTTTTTTGTTTTTTGAAGGCATGGTTGGAATTTGTCTGTTCGCTTCTCGAAAAAGCTTTGTCTATCCCTTGTGCCAAGGCTGGCTGAAATGTTTTGCCTCCTGTGTGATATTTTTCAATCTAAGCAAGATTACGTCTTCAAGTTTGTACACAATTCTCGTTATTATGTTTGCTATCGAAATGAAGCATGAAATGTATCTGTTATGTCATAATGTTGCACTTATTGCCTGCCATTGTTGCATTCCAACGTTGGCTAAAATAACATTGTGTTGTTAAATAGGTTCAATCAAAACAATATAGCAATATGAAGCAACCAAATTTCCCACTGTAGAGGCATGAAACTTTCAGTAGAACTTCGCTGCATACCAAGTTGCATTCAGAAAAAGAATCGTTAAGAATATCAATGGTGATCCATATGTGGATGTTAGGAGATGGGGGACAGATGGAATGGTGATGATGCATCTGACGCAAGTCTCCATGATCAACCTTGGGATTGACCAATCACTCTTTTAACATAGTTGTTTTTGCAACTCCATCAACACAATTAACATTCTGTTCACATAGGAATCAACCTATGATCTGCATGAGATTGCGGAGCTCCTAACCGCTGCTCGACAAATGTATTTTCTGGCTCAAGTTCAATTTTAGGGTCAGTTAGGTCATAAACAAGAAAGTAATTAACAGTTCTTTGGACAAGTTTTTTTCTTGTCTGCTGGTATCTTGACTTTTCCCCAGCACTAAATGACTGCTTTTGTGCCAATGGGCTTCTCTGTAGCTCGAATGAAACTAATTTTAAATGAGCTTTCATGAAAATAGTTTACAAGAGAATATGTGGGGTGGGGGTGGGTGGGGAGCAAATCTAATCTTTCATGTGAAAATATTATTATCTGCAGACATGTTTGCGTCATCCGGACTGCTCTAGTGGACGTCACAACCGGCAAGGGGTGTTTTCTATGATCCGTCAGTCTCTGGATCTAATCCAGCATGTGGTCACACAGGGAGGTCAGGAGGAAGTGCGACCAGAAGGAGGACCAATCGTAAACGGAGATTCTGGGATTGGGCTTGCCTCTTCACACCCTACAGCAAGCAGAGCCTTTTCAGACTTTGAGGTAAGTCCCAAGTGGATTTCAACTATGCTCTCATGTCCATTTTTATAACTCTGATATTTGTAAGCTCTTTTAAGTTGTGATGGATGATCTACCATTATTGTACCTTGACAGCCCTTACCATAATGACTCATTTTCATATGTGAAAAGAATATCTGCTGAAGAATCAGAGCATAATGCAAACCCCCCTTCCCTCCCCATCATTCTTTTCATTTTTCGTCTTCTTCTTAATCTATTATCTATTTGTGGTGGCCGAATTTTGCTATTCAAAAGGCTTTTTAATGGCTGCATTGATCGACTTGCGGTTTTCGCCAAAAGATTCTTTAAAATATTCTCCAGATCATGATGCCCTTCGTTTTTTCAGTTTTGAGACAGTTTTGCTGCAAAAAGCTAAATTTCTTTATTTCACAGATCGCTTTTGTAGGCTGTAATTCTGTCTCTGTAATTTTAGAAAATCTGGTGCGGAAGTGATATTTCTTGAGGTGCATTTTGTTTTGAGAGTATAATATATCTAGATCTAGACCTTCTAATTTTTCGCATCTCTCAAGATTTATTGCTCCATTCCAGTAGAGTGTAAATATAATAGGCCAATGACTTTCAGTTGATGTTAATGCACCGATCATTCCTATCATCGAGAGGGGGCCCAGCTAGTTCTCTCTATGATGGTAAAACTGTCATCAATTAAGTACTAATTTGGGGAACTGCCACTATTTCTTTTGGTTTTTAAGTGCCAGCGATATGGGAAAGGGGTGGTGGGAAGGGAGGAGTAAAGATATGATTACCGGTATATGTTGAAGCTTCTGTGGTGATGTTCTCACAGGATCAAGTGGACATGACGAGGGTCACCATGATTGGCCCTGCGGTGGAGGACAGACTTCTCAGTGCATTTGAGAGTGTGAAGGAAACAGTAGAGGAGTTCACAGATTCCTACTACACATCGCATGAAGCAAGGGAAAAGATTGTGCAGCTTTCAGATGTCCTGAGAGATGATTTGCAGAGTATGCTGCTGCTGGGGCAGAACTTGGTAAGAGTAGGATTTTTGCCGTCTTAGGTGAAGTACTGGATAAGTTGATTAATTAATTTTCCAGAATTGGGTCTTCAGAGACAGATTCTATCCACAACTTCTCGCCCCTCCTCAGCTGGGTCCATCTTAAGATATTCATGCTGATGGTCTCCATCAGTAATTGATTGTTGATTCATCTGCCAGGGTTGTGGTATAAACATATAAAAGATGATTCTATTTGAAGGTCTGTGAAGACAAAGCTGATGCAAGGATATGACAAAGTTATGTAATGCCTGGCTTCTGCCAGTGTGATTTTCATCAATTAAGTTGAGTTAATAGGTGGACTTGAAAGATTAAGTACACTTTGGAAATAATATCTCTTGAGGACATGTATATTTATCTGTAAACGTTTTCAGAGCTGAAGTTGATTTCCTTCTGTTTTCAGAATTGCAGGGATGCCCGAACGCCTACGCATGATTTAGAAACAGCTATCATAAAGACCTTGGAATCTTCAAAGATTTTGCGGAAACAGGTAATGTTTCAAAGCTGTTGTGAATAGAAAGTTAGTGATGGCTCTTCTAGTGTGGGTTTGTTTTTCTACTTTTTTCAGTTGCACTATTAGTCCAGTCCTTTTTGTGTAAGTGGTGAAATATGGCTCTGATTATGCTTACTTGCTGCAAACTACAGTTCCTTTAACATTTTCCTTTCCTGCAACAGATAAAAATGTGGGCAATGGGAGAAGAGATAGTGAAAATCAATCAGCATTAAAAACTTTGAAGACTGAGTAGTACAAGACTATTATGAACACATTGCTGCCCGAAGAAAAAAAAAGGTGAGTTAATAAATATTTGAGTGACTATTTTCCTACATAACAATTATGACATGTTGTTATTAAAGAATGACAGAGCAGTGTAAAATGAAGGCTCATGAGGAGTTTGGGAAAAAATAGTGTGTGAGTTTAATGTCTCTGTCAACACTATCAGATTATTTAACACTTTACAGTCACACAGCCAGCAGTACAAAATGCTGCATCTGGTCACCCAGCCAGGAGAGTGGCTGCAACGGACTTCTCCGAACTGGGGCAGAACTTGGCCAGATGACCAGAACGGATAATTTTCACCATCACATTATTACGGCAAGTGACTGCAAAGTGTTGAGATACAGTGCCTCTGAATTTATTGTCCATCTCCAATAGGACTGAGCCAAATGGGTTGAGAGCCTTGAAAACTCCACAAAACGACCAGAGTGCAGGAACGCCCAGTCTTGGATTTGAAACGGGGCCATCTGCTCCATAGTCCAGCATTGTACCCACTGAGCTAATGAAGCACCCAAGGAGTTGTGTGTGCTATCTGCTGACTGACGTATGTCTGTGTATTGTGATCCCCAGCTGCTGTGTACTGCCATGAGCCAGGCATCAGACCTGTTTCGTCAGAATGATGACGAAGGTTTGCTGAAGGCGCTACGTGTGGCTGGCGTCTCTGGGGAGCTGGATCGGGTGGAAGAGCTCACTGTGAAGTTCTCAGAACACCAGGAGCAGTTGGAAGAGGTTTCTGTTTTCTGTATACACGTGAAAGTGTGTTTGTGTGGGGATAGGTGAATCTACGGGAGTGGTGTTACTTGGGTTTTATGTTCATAGAACACAAGAAATAGTAGAAAGAGGTGTGTGTGCAGTGGGGATTGGCGTCCAGTCCTGTTGGAGGGGGGCTAGATTAGGGGGAGGAGCTTTTAAGTTCTGGAATATGTGGTAGATATGGAAGAAATCTGTAAATTGTGTGTGTTGAGGAGGTTACAGTGTCAGAGAGTAGGATTGGTCTGAACAGATGACTGGTATTTTTGCAACTTAAGGAGCAGTAGCTATATGTCTGTGTACGTTTTCATGTGTGTGTTTGGTCATGGGTGTGCATCATGGTAATATACTTTAATGAACTAGATGGAGATCGCTTACACAATAATGTTTCTCAAAGAGACCATACTCAGGTTGTGGCCTTAATGATTAGTAGATGTTTCTGATGCTAGACCTATTGGTGAACAAGCATCATGTTACAACATCTCTCATTCTCTTTCTGTTGCTCATTCTGTTGGTACATAGACATTTTCTCTAAGAAATGAACTTTGAGAAGGAAGGTCAAGAGAGTCAGTATTTTCTTAGAGAGAAGTTTCAGGATATTTGTTAGAACACAATGAGAAAGAGAGAGAGATGGGGGG